TTTCTTATATCAGAAGTTCAGAGTTTTTGCAGCACCATCTAGCGTGACCAAAGAGGTTTTACTGAACTTTGCAGTAACTCTCATCCTTCCTTCTTGTGTTTCTTTTAAAACACAATGATCTCCTTACAGGCTATTGGCCAAAAATCTTTAAGGCATGCAATATTCCTTTTCACATTCCTTTCTCTACCTCATGAAATCCCACAGCTTCACTAGCTGTGAGCTAGTGAAGTGAGCACAGCTTCACCTTCATCAAGCCTTGATACTAATGAATTACCTCCTAATGAACCTCTAGTGAAAAATGGCTAGTGAACAATGCCTCTGATCTGCACCTTGCTTTGAGAGAATGCGTGCTGCTAGCACAGCACAGATACATGTTTTATGGAGTATGAAAGATGTTCTCAGATGTGGGCATGCACGTCACTATTGCCTCCAGGAAGTGTTACAGATGTTGTTTTCTATCAGATAACACCTATACACTCAGATCCATGCCAGGCACATGCAAGGCTCTGTACGTGAAACAGGCCGAAAGACATTGCTGGCAAACAAAACTATCTGATTCCTAGTCTGGTAAGATGATGCGCATTTTCTCCCTGTCTTTTAAAAGTTTCCCTCTGCCTAAATAGGATTTAAACCACTTTGCTTTCTTCATCTATTCACCTCTGTCTAAAAGATCCTGAAGTGGTGAGGCTGCACATACTCCGTGAAAGACATGGAGGCTCTGGAGAGTGTTCAGAGAACACAGCAAAGCTGTGAAGGGTCTGGAGCACGAGTCTGATGGGGAGTGGCTGAGGAAACTGGGATTGTTCAGTCTGGAGAAGAGGAGGCTCAGGGGAGACCTTACTTCTCTCTACAGCTGCCTGAAAGGAGGTTGTTGGCGAGGTGGGGTCAGATTCTGCTTCCAGGTAACAGTGATAGGATGAGAGGGAACAGCCTCAAGTTGTGCTAGGGGAGGTTCAGGTTGGATATTTGGAAGCCTTTCTTCTCAGAAAGAGTGGTGAGGCATTGGCACAGGCTGCCCAAGGAGGTAATGGAGTCACTGTCTCTGGAGGTGTTCAAGAAAGGTGTAGACGTTGCACTCAGGGACATGGTTAGTGGTCATGGTGAGGGCTTGATGATTATTGGACTGGATGATCTTAGTGGTCTTTTCCAACCTTAATGATTGCATGATTCTACGATTCTATGATTCTAAGTATTTTTCTCCTAACAGACACGATGTGTGGATTCAAATGATTTCAAAAAGGATTTCTTATACCACTGTTTAAAATAAAGCTTTTGATCAATAATTAAACTAATCTTCCTTTCAGAAACTTCCTTCTGAATACTTTCATGTCACCAAGAGTTGCATAGCACTGATACAAAAAAATGATAAAGCAACTCACCTATTTCTAACTGCATATAAGAAAAAATATAATAGCTTTATACTAGTGACTTATATGATTGTTAGAAAAGATGATCCCACTGTAAGAAGACAGAAACAAAATTACATAACTCGCTACATGAAAACTGTGCTATCTTCTTATCTATTCCTGATACTAAAATAGTCATAAAGCTGCAGTCTTTCTTTTGTTATTTGAACCAAGAGGAGTTTGTCCTCCACTTTTAGATGGCACTGCTCTTGTATTTTCCTTGCTAAACTGCTGCAAGCTGGAGTGCAAATCATTGCTGGTTTAAATAATTTTTAATTACCCTTTCTTTTCCTTTTCCTTATTTTATGGAATTTCAGATAACTGTTTTGCGTATTACAGTTCACTTCATGAAGTGCAAGGAGAGGAAAAGAGTCAAAGACAGAGCTCAGAGGAGATGAAGTATGCATTGTCGTTCATATAGCTATTCATATAACACAGGTAGACCTAGAGAGTCTTGTCTCTCATCTCCTGAGGGAAGAATCCAAAACAGCACAGCCAAAACTCTGAAAAAGGCCTGCCAGAAATACCTGTTTTAAAGACCATATTATAGAACCAGAGAATCAGAGAATTATTAAGGTTGGAAAAGACCTCTTAGATCATTTAGTCCAACTATCCACCAACTATTACCCACTAAATCATATCCCTAAGTATTACATCTACCCTTTCCTTAAACATCTCCAGAGACAGTGACTCCACCACCGCCCCGACCAGCCTATGCCTATGCCTTACCACTCTTTCTGAGAATAAATATTCTTCCTAATATCCAATGTGAATATGTGTACTCACAAAACTGAAATTTAACTATGGCAAAATTCCCATAGTCCTTTGACATGAATGTGACATTTCATCTCTGGGAAAATCATCTGCAAATAGGCAAATAATATTCTTTTTACTCTAGAAAATAATGCCTTATTTTCTTATGATGCTGTGCACTTGGCTCTAAGCATCTTATATTCATTATTATCATTAGATCACCTTTTCCAAAAACCTGATTTTTGGGAGTGATGCTACAGAGTCTAAAGTGTATTGATAAATATGTGTTAAAATGCATCAGCGATTTTGTATTTTGATCAGTATTTATATTAATTGCTGCCACCCACTGGACTCATCTGTATGCTTTGGCTCACCATAGTATAATTTAATACATCATTGTTTCTCTAAATGACTTCATCCTCTCCATTTGAAAGGGTGCCATTTATTTTCCTCCGTCAGCAACCACTAAAATTGGATGTTTCCGACTACAAGCTGTGGTTGATTTAAAACAAATTGACAAAAACCTTTCTGTCATATTTGTAGTGTGGGAACAGCCTCATGGAAGGAAATATACACATAAGTTTCGAGCTAACTCTATGTGAGATTACCTTATTTGCCATCTGGACTTAGCTGCAAAGTCCGAGGCAAATAATTTGTTCTATATAAATGATAAATACTCTATTAGAACTATGCTACTCATGCTACATAGAGGGAATTCTTTCCTGCAAAATGATGATATTTCTGACTCTCATTTCATTTCCACTGGGGTACTTACGTACTTGAAGTTATGCACATGACAGAAGATTAAGCCTTGCAACCAGTTTGCAAGTTGTCTTGTTTACCACTGGTCCCAGTAGACGTCACAAGTTCTCATCACACCTCAGAACTTGGCCTGTACAACACTAAAGTGAATAAATTGGCTCTTCAAACTGGGCTGCTATATTAACAACTTCTACAATCTATGTAAGTGTTATGAATAATGAAATAAGACACTGGTGATGACAACACAGTACTGAAGAACTGTTAAGTGCTGCATTATGATTTCATTTTAATGCTGTTTCTGGCTGAGAGAGCTTGCGTGCCTATGTATGAGAAGGAAGAGGGAGTGAAAGGGAGCTGCTTAGTATTCTTCTTGTTGGCCTATATTTTTAATCTAGCTACTTGTTTAATTTAGAGCATGCTATGTCCAGGAGGACTGGCCATTTGGAGGGCTTACATTACCCTTAATTTCTGTGATCTCAGAGGTCTTGTTGGATGGGACTGTAGCACAACTAGATGCCAAGACTGAAGAAAAAAGGGGGAAAAAATATTCATTTCTTGTCCACACAGACTTGTAATCCTTCAAACCAAGGCTGTCTACCACTGTAATTGATGCAGGTAAGGGGGCAAAACACAGCAGAGGGCAGAGATAAGAACAGAGTCTTGGCTCAAATCCAGGATAGACTATATGTAGAACTAAATTATCTTCCTGCTTTGCCCTAAGGTAAGAAAAAGGTTGAGGAAGAAATGTGCTTTCAGGTCTAGTTCCTGCAGAGGTTCAGGTTGTGCATCAACCCTCCAACCAGTGCTTCTGTGCCAAAATCACTGTTCCTTTTGCTGACCTTAGTGGAAGTGCTGCAATGTGCTCTGCAGGAAAAAAAAAAAAAAAAAAAAAAAAAAAAAAAAAAAAAAAAAAAAAAAACAGGTGCAAGAATTTGGCCTCAGTGCTTTATAGAAGCTAAATAAATCTACTGCAACAAATCTAGAGTATCTGGAAGTTGAAGTGGAAGAATATATTACATCCTTATACAATATTGCTGGTGCTCAAGCACAGCATGGGCATAGATGCAGGGGAAAAGATTTATTCCAGCAATGACAATGGAACCACTTCTGTAACCAAAGACATAGGGAATGAAATCACCTTTATTGCTCATCAATGTTAAAAAAAAAAAAGGAAAAAATTTTCTTTCCGCCTTTTAAGACATTCACCTTTGATGCTATAGCAAATGACCAATAAATCACATAGCACATAGTAAATGCAATTTCCTCCCACATTTTTAATAATTCTTCATTCCCTGCATGAACCTCGGGTGGAGGGAAAACAAAAACTCTCTAGAGCTTATCATTTGGAAGTGTTACAATATTGATTTCCCACAGAAGGTCACAGATCCACCTTGTGATTTTTTCATCTATTCCCCAAACAAGATATAAGACCAAAGCAGCACATTCTAGGAAGATCAGACCAGATTTTAAAAATGATCAAAAAATGGGAAAACTGAAGCAAAGCAGTAGGGTTTCTTAAATTCCTAAAACACAGGAAGATATTAAGAAGATACAATACGAAATTGTTGAGAACCTCAGACTTACTTTATTATCATAAAAATGGATCCTCTACTCAGCTTACTTCCAGACTGTTGGACCAAACACTGATGTGTATGGATCTGACAATTAATTTTTTCTTATTTTACAATAGTTGAATTTTGTCAAAAAAACTCTGAGTTAATAGTGGAACTCTTTCTTCCAAGAAAGAATGTGAAAATTCACAATTATACACATTGTGAGAAAACAGGAAAGAATTTGTTAGTACCTGGAGTAAAAAGATAAGGATACTGGTAACACAGCTCTCCACATTTACAGCTATTTCTCATTTAGTAAAGGGAAATAAAGTTCAATTATTTTAGCCCTTTTGGTCTTCAACCTCTGAACAAGGCAAAAATATCTCAGACAGATACAGACATCTTGACTTACCTGCTGACACTTGAGTTGGACTGTGTAAGCTGTCAGAAGGCTGTTCTTCCCAAAGGGTTAATAAGGTCATCTTCTGTTCTGATAATAAAATCTCTATTTCTGTTTTTTTCACAGCTCCATTCAATCCTCCCAATGTGGCAGACAGCACAGTCAAGTTTGATGCCTATGGAGATGGGATAGGTCGTTACAATGTGTTTAATTTCCAATACACTGGAGACAGATACTCCTACGTGAAGGTTGGTCACTGGGCAGAAACCCTGTCACTTGAGGTAGACTCCATCCACTGGTCGAAGAGCTCTATCCCTGTCTCCCAGTGCAGTGACCCCTGTGCTCCCAATGAGATGAAGAATATGCAACCAGGAGATGTCTGCTGTTGGATTTGTATTCCCTGTGAAACATACGAGTACCTGGCTGATGAATTTACTTGTGCAGACTGTGGGCCAGGAAAATGGCCCACGGCTGACCTGACTGGCTGCTATGACCTACCAGAAGACTACATCAAATGGGAAGATGCTTGGGCAATAGGTCCTGTTACCATTGCATGCATGGGCTTTATTTGTACTTTTTTGGTCATTGCAGTGTTTATCAAGCACAACAATACTCCCCTAGTTAAAGCCTCTGGCCGTGAACTATGCTACATATTGCTCTTTGGGGTCTTCCTGTCTTACAGCATGACATTCTTCTTCATAGCCAAGCCTTCTCCAGCTATCTGCACCTTGCGTCGTTTGGGGCTAGGAAGTTCCTTTGCTGTCTGCTATTCTGCCCTCCTGACAAAAACAAACTGCATAGCTAGAATATTTGATGGCGTAAAGAACGGTGCTCAAAGGCCTAAGTTCATCAGCCCCAGCTCTCAGGTCTTCATATGCCTGAGTCTCATTTTGGTACAGATTGTGATGGTGTCCGTGTGGCTCATCTTGGAGGCCCCTGGCACCAGGAGGTACACTCTTCCTGAGAAGAGAGAGACTGTCATATTGAAATGCAATGTTAAAGATTCCAGTATGTTAATCTCCTTAACATATGATGTAATCCTCGTAGTCTTATGTACTGTGTATGCCTTCAAAACAAGGAAATGCCCAGAGAACTTCAACGAGGCCAAGTTTATCGGTTTCACAATGTACACAACGTGCATCATTTGGCTGGCCTTTCTCCCCATATTTTATGTGACATCCAGTGACTACAGAGTAAGTCTTTGGATATATATTTCCATAAATCATGTGCATCAATTTAAAGAACCTTGTCATCATTCACTAAAAGCTTCTCTCACTTCCTTTGTCACCTGGATCCCTCACAAACTGTTTCAATGTTAACGTTCAACTAAGCTTATTAGCTTATTTTAGTTCATTTCTAAGAAAGATGTTCTCAATTTGAACTGTGAAGGTATAGCTGGAGGTGTAAGGGATTAGTACTGTCAACCTCACTGTGATAGGGGCAAAGCACACAGATTAAGTATTAGAAGCATAGAATTATAGAATTGTTTGAGTCAGAAGACACCATTAAACATCACATAGTCCAACTCTTCTGCAATGAACAGGGACACCTACAGCTAGATTATGTTGCTCAGAGCCCTGTTTGTTTCCAGGGACAGACCATCTACAGACAATCTACATCCATGGGCAACCTGCTCCAATGCCTTATCTCCCTCACTGTAAAAGACTTTCTCCTTATATCTCTTCTAAATCTCCCCTCTTTTGTTTTGAAATAATTTCTCCTTGTCCTATCACAACAGATCCTGACAAAGAGTCTGTCCCCTTCTTTCTTGCAGCCCTCCTTTAGATACTGAAAGGCCGCTCTCAGGTCTCCTTGCAGCCTTCTCTTCTCCGGGCTGAACAACCCCAGCTCTCTCAGCCCATCCTTGTAGAAGAGGCGTGCAATCACTTGAATCAAGCCCTCCTCTGGATGTGCTCCAACAGGTCCACATCTCTGCTATACTGATGACTCCCCATCTGGATGCAGCACTCCAGGTGAGGTCGCACCAGTACAGAGTAGAGGAGCAGGATCACCCCCTCACCCTGCTGGCCACATTTCTTCTGATGCAGCCCAGGATACAGTTGGCTTTCTGGGTTGCAACGGCACACTGCTGGCTCATGTCCAGCTTGCCATCCACCAGTCTCACCAAGTCCTTTTCAGCAGAGCTGTGCTCCATCCTTACATTCCCCAGTTTGTACTGATAGTGGACGTTGCCACAACCCAAGTGCAAGACCTTGCACTTGGATTTGTTGAGCCTTGTGATGTTCACCTGGGCCCACTGCTCAAACCTGTCTAGGTCCCCGTGGATGTCACCCCGTCCCTTGGGCGTGTTGACCATACCACACAGTCTGGTGTCATCTGCAAACTTAATGAGGGTGCACCCAACCCCACTGTCAGTGTCATCAATGAAGATGTTAAAGAACATCAATCCTAGTACTGACTCCAAAGGGATGTCACTCATCAATGATCTCCATCCAGACATTTATGTATTGATGATTTCTCTCTGGATACAATCTTGCAACCAGTTACTCACATATCCACCCATCCATATCCATCCAGTCCACCCACCAAATCATACTGTCCCAATTTAGAGATAAAAATATTATGGGGTACTGTGTTAAAGACCTTACTGAAGTCCAGACAGATGATATTAGTGGCTCTTCCCCTATTTATTAATGCAGTTCTGCCATCAAAGAAGGCCACTAGGTTGTTCTGGTGGGACCTGCCTTTGCTGAAGCCATGCTGCTTATTTTGTATCCCCTCTGCTTCTTCCACATGCTTTAGCATAGCTTCCAGGAGTTTCTGCTCCATGATCTTCCCCAGGACAGAGGTGTATTCACACTAGTACATCAGTATATGAAGCTATAGTCTTAACAACAACAACAAAATAGTAGATCATGAGCATGATCATGAGCATGCATGAGTCACAGAGTTATTTGGTAGAGGTAGGCCTTAAATTAAAAACTGAAGCAATTAGTCTCCTTTTTTTTTTTTTTCTTTCCAACAGATGTTATGCTTTAATATAGAACAATTTATTCTCTCTCCATTTTGTAGAAGATAAGTATATCACTGAGCAGAAAATATTGGTCAACATTAGTAAATAACCTTAAAAATATTAAATTGATTTAATTGTCACACAATTTTGAAAAGATTCAGATTAAATAAAATTGTATTTCTAGACCAAAGAAAATTATCTCAGAAAAAGACTGGTCTACTCAACTGGAAATCTCACAGTTATTATGATGTGAGAAGTGATTGCTGGAGTTGGCCCTTACAGTAAATTGTACTGAATTAGTTCAACTTTCTGGCCAGAAGAAAGATAGGAGACTGAGGGTGGTATTATCAGCAGTACTATGCTTAAGATTTAGCATGGAAAACTGGACATCTAATAATACCACTTAACATGCTTCTAGTGTGATCATCCTGGACCAGTTCTCTCAGCATAGGAAAGGTACTGAAAACCTTGAGAAAACAAGAATAGATAACAAACGACACAATAAGACATGGAGAGTGACAGTAAAAGAGCTAAATATATTTAGTCTAGACAAGTGCAAACCCAAGGAGACGTGATCACAGACTACAAATAATTTCAAGGCAACAAAAAGAAAAGAATTATTCAGTCTCAGGGGAAGTTAGAATGGCGAGTAATGGCTCGAAGCTAATGAAGGAAAAGCTTAAGACAGGCACTGGGGAAAAGCTCCTGACACTCAAAGTAATCAGGAAGCCATACACAAAGGACGGTAATACTGGTTCATACTGTCACACCACAGGGCAGCACAGGCACTAATGGCCAAGAGAGACATGACTTGATTGCTCAAGTAACATTTTAAACCTCATCTCCTGAGGGCGATTTTCAGAGCAACTGTGAGCATTTAATTTGAATAAAAAGTTCCATATAAGCCAATCTGAGTCCTATTCAGTGGACAGAAAAAGATTTTGACACTTTTTTGACACTTTCATAACGTTAGCAGGTTTTTGAAAATCCCATCGTATATGTCTACACTTTTGGTGTTCTTTTGAAAAGCCTATATTTAGTTTCCATGCAGGGTCACATGAAAACCTGTGACATCAACTTGTGCCATCCTCATGTATTCCAACACTGGTGGCATCGCTAATGACCTATCTTAGAAACATAAAGTAGCAGTAAAAAAAAAAACGTGTTGATCAGATTTTATTATTAGGGACTAATTTCTAGGATTCTCCTTCCTGAAAGAAAAAAAAAGGAGGGAAAAAAGAAAGACAGGAAAGAAAGAAAAGAAAGACAGGAAAGGAGGAAAGTGGGAGGGAAGGAGAAAAAGGAAGGAAGGAAGGAAGGAAGGAAGGAAGGAAGGAAGGAAGGAAGGCCCACATTTTTCCATAGGCTCCAGTGTCTGTGGATTGTCTAACTCAACTTTGCTTAAGGCAGTATTACCCTTGTAGCAGACTGCTCAAGACTGTGTCCTGTGGGTTGTTGAATATTTCAAAGGGTGAAGACTCCACAATCTCTCTGGGGAATCTGTGCCAGTGTGACTATCTTCATGGTTTTCTTATATATAAACAATGCCCTGTGTATCATTTTCTGCCAGTGTCCTGTCACTGGGCTCTAGTGGGAAGGGTCTGGCTCCCTCTTTCTTTCTCCCATCATGAGGTACATAAACATACTGATATCCATTTTGGCCTTCTCTTCTCTGCCCTGAGCAACCCAGAATCTCCTCATATGACAGTTCCTCCAGACCTTTCATCATCTTTATGGCCTTTGCATAGATTCATAGAATCATTAAGGTTGGAAAGAGCACTAGCATCATCATCTCCAACCATCATCCATCACCACCATGTCCACTAAATCATGTCACTCAATGTGACATCTATCTTCTATTCGAACATCCTCAGGGACAGTGACTCCAGCACCACCTTGGGCAGCCTGTTTCAATACTTCAACACTCTTTCTGAGTACAAACTCTTCCTAATATACAACTTGAACCTCCCCTGGCACAACTTGATCCCATTCCTTCTTGTCCTATCAATAGTTACATGGGAGAGGAGACTGATCCCCACTTTGCCACAATCACCCTTCAGGTGACTGTAGAGAGCTATAAGGTCTCCCCTGAGCCTCCTCTTCTTCAGACTGAACAGTCCCAGTTCCGTCAGTCACTCCCAGTAAGACTTCTGCTTCACTGCCCTTCTTTAGTCACACTCCAAGACCTCAGTATCTTTCTCTTAGTGAGGAGCACAAAACTGAAAGATTATCTAAACTGAATATGAACAAGTAGTCCAGATAATCTTCAGTTCACCTTTATTGTACACTTCTCTCATTGTTACTTCGTCAGCTTGTCAATGACAAAGTTATGGGAGGCAGTGTCAAATATCAGCTACTCACACATCATCCACAATGCCGTTTATTTCTTCCTAGAAGACAATCAGGTTGGGGAAGTAGATTCCTAGAAGTCACAGCCTCCTAACAGCAATCCTTTTCCCAGCAGCAGCAGGGCAACCTGATGTTCCTCTGAGACTCCCCTTGAGTCCTCTAGCAATCCAAAAACTAGTTCCCAGATAGTCTAGATCTTGAAGCAGAGCCCAGAAACTGCTGTGTTTGGTAGCTGTATCTCTTAATTGCACTGTCAAATATTTAAAGGAGAGCTTCTGGATAATACAGACTTCTCTGATACTGTTAATTTTCACACAGAGGTCCACACTGATTTCAAATAGGAGTTCTTTAGAATCAAAGATAAAATGAAACCTGTTGTGACTAAATAAGCACAGACAAATTCACAGCAGCTCTAACACCTAGCACATTTAAGGAATTTTTTTTTTTCTTCACTTGATCACCTCAAGAAATGCAGGTAACATGGGAAAAGTCTGGGTGTTAAACTGGTCATAGCGAAGTCAAGTGTCAAAAGTTGTTGCATCCACCTTTGGTAAAGAGTGATTACCAGTTATACGGTCACCTTAATTATTCTTACAGTTGACAAAGCACGTGGCACTCTGAGGATATGTAAAGAGACAAAGTCCATTCCTTATTCCGGTTTACATTTTGCAATAACTATTTCTGACAAGGAGATGTGAGAAGCATTTCCATGGTAGAAGGCTGATCTCCAAGGACTGCAGGAGTGCATCTAAGGCAAAACGAGTCATGGATGTATGATCATTTAAATTAAGTAGTAGAGTTTAAGGCAGTTTAATTCAACATCTTAATTAAGGAACCTGCTTGGAAGAATATAAACTGAAAATGAGCCAGTAAACTGGTGCCTAATTACATGAGTGAACTAAGAGAAAGATAGATTGACAGCAAAGCTGCACTAACAAATTGCCCAAGGCAATGAATCCAAAATCCTGTACTTCCAAACAATTCATTTCTCAGTCCTTCTATCTCAAAGTCAGGGCACTTTTCAGGGTCAATCTTACAAATGTCACCAGCTGCTGTGTTTACTCAAAATAACAGCTATGCCTCTGCATGAGATTGCTAAAGTTCTCTGATTAGAGTTGAAGCTGGAGGCTAAACTTGTTTTCACATGGAAGCTTTAAGGCATTAATTGCAATGTAAAGCACACTACATGCAGCCTGGTTTCCACTGTAGCCAGCTTTGCTCAGCTGCTGCATTACAGAGGACTTCCTGACCAATTTAGGAATCAAGTATATGAGGGGTGAGAGAAACAGAGCGTTCTCATTCCTGTGTTAAGCAGAGAGAGATCATACTCAGTCAAGTACCCCTTGACAACACCCAGCTGAGTGGTGCAGTTTATATGGCAGAAGGATGGGATGCCATCCAGAGGGACCTTGACAAAATCGAAAGGTGAACCAATGTAAAACCAATGAGGTTTAATGACGCCAAGTTCAAAGTTGCACCTGGATTGGGACAATTCCAAGACTGGGAGAATAGTCTCTTGAGAGCAGTCCCGTTGAGAAGGGCTTAGGGATCCTGGCAGATGAAAAACTTAACATGAGCCAGCAGCATGCTTTTGCAGACAAGAAGGCAAACAGTATTCTGGACTGCATCAAAACAGAGGTGGCCAACAGGGAAGAGGGAGGGGATTGTCCCTCTCTTCTCTGCCCTTACGAGGCTCCGTCTGGAGTACTGCATCCAGGTCTGAGGGCCCCAGCTCAGGAAAGGTGTGGAGCTTTTGGAGAGGATCTAGAGGAGGGCCACAAAGATGATCAGAGCAGCACGATCTCATGCTTGACTTAGCAGTCAGCAACCCTGCCCATGGCAGGGGGGTTGGAACTAGGTTATCTTTGAGGTCCCTTCCAACCCAAGCCATTCTGTGATTCTATGGTTCTGTGATATGCAGAGAAACAGAGTGTACCACCAACATAACACACCTGTCATACAACCATACAACAAGGTAGGAATGAGACAGATGTTCAAGCCCACTAGCATCAGTGCAGCCCAGGATTGTGGTTCCTACTGTTATATTATGATGCTTATGACATTCTGAATTTCAGAGATTCCATACAAAAACACAGCACTTTGCACCCGCTCTCTTCCAGGTGCAGACCACCACTATGTGCATCTCCGTGAGTCTGAGCGGCTTCGTGGTGCTGGGCTGCCTCTTCGCACCCAAGGTGCACATCATCCTCTTCCAACCCCAGAAGAACGTGGTCACTCACAGACTCCATCTCAACAGGTTCAGTGTCAGTGGAACTGGGACCACATACTCCCAGTGTAAGTAGCAAAACTGCTGCCTTGTTATAAGGGTGTGGGGACGCAGTTTATTTGGATAAATAAAAGCAAAGCTGTTTTTTTTTTAACCAGCAAAAAAAAGCCCTTTTGTAGGCTGGGCTGATATGGAAGCATCACATTGTTTGTGACTAGAGGAAAAAACTCATTCTCCTCCCATGGGAATGAGGTCAGAGCCTGCTCTGGAGCTCATTTAAGCCAGCAGAAAGCTTGCAGCAGGCTCCAGCTTGTTCAGCACAAAGCAAGGAGGACCCGCCACTTGCTGTCACTCTGACAGCAGTGCAGCAACAGATTGCTCTGGAGTACTCCTGTCAAACAGACACACTGGCAGGACCTGGGCCAAAATGCGGCTCTATCTCATTGCCAGTTATAAAGAAAAAGCTCAGTTCTACAGCAAACACACAGAGAGAATGCTATAAACCATTTCTGTATGCGGAGTGTGAGCAATACTCTTTGAAAGCAGGGACGACACAGTGCTGTGTGGCAAGCACAGCTCACTTGCTCTGCCTTCTCTGCACTGTCATTCTCTTCATCCCAAGCAGAATCACATCTGTGATTTTGTTAGGTGGCTGCTGCTCATTTTCTGGGTGAGCTGCTCAAAGATTTTTTGGGGGATTAAAAGGGAAAAAAAAAAAAGGTCACCTGTAGTGTTTTGTTTGTCGAGCTTAACTAAGCAACGATGGGAGCACACAGCACCTTGTTCACAGAGCTCTGCCAACAGAGTCTAACCTGGAAGCTAATTGAAATACAAGCTACAGGTAGAGAAAGACAAGGAATACAAAAGAGGGGAAAAGGGAGCTGCAGAACACACTCCAGAAATCAAAACTGTTTGCTATTTTGGAACAATTAGATGAAGAGAGATGAGATGACCCTAAGTGTCCAAAGTGCAGAGCACTCTCAAAGGGGCTGGGTTTCCAAAATCTGTGGTTTCTCTACAACTTTTAGAAGCTTCGCCCTTTGACAAAATGGTAAGTCTCGTGATTTTTTTGTCCCTTATGAATTCTGTAAAGGTAATCTTTCCTTTTATTTATTTATTTTTAATTGCTTCTTACTATTAAATCAGCTAACTCAGAAACCATTTTGATTCATGGATACTTCTGTACAGGGCTGATTTTTTTTTATTATAATGGCTGGATGATAAACACATTGTGGGTGTGTGCCTGTATGCAACTGAAAGACATCCTCAGTGCATACCTTTCGATCAAAAGTCTACCTCTTCAAATTTATGAATGTCTTTAAGGCATTAAGGGAAACAAAAATCAAGCCTTACAAACCTCTTGCTACTTTGTTGTTTAGAAGGGTGGCCTCAGTCATTTACTTTTCCTGCTTACACCAAACTGAATATGCTGATCTTTGGGATCTTTTTGGACTGCAATGAGATGCAGAAAGGACACAGAAGAAAGAGTAAAAGTCCCATGCAGTACAATGGAACAAAAGCATTGTTTCTTTTTATGAAGATTATTTTAGAAAAATAACACTGAGAGCTCACTGTCAATCACAGCAAAACCTTCCTCCGCACCCTTCCATTTGTTTGTAAATGATTTAAATACATTCTCTTTTTTTTAAACTGCTACAAGCCCACTTCTATCTGCACCCACTTTATCATGTGGTACATTCCCTCAATGGCAGCAAGACAGGGAGAGAATATCAATAACCATACTGCATCTATTAAAAAAAAGAAAAGAAATCTAAAATATTCCTTTCACAGAATCACAGAATCACAGAATCACCCGGGTTGGAAGGGACCCCAAGGATCATGTAGTTCCAACCCCCCTGCCTAGCAGGGCCACCAAACATAGACATTCAGATCAGGTTGCCCAGGACCCCGTCCAACCTGGCCTTTCACCCGTCCCAGAGCTGTCAGCTTGGTTTTCTTTTTGTGCCGATAGTGTTTTCATCAGTCATGAAAACTGGCCAAGCACTGAGAGAAAAACAAAAATATCTCACAACCACTCTTGGAGATTATTAATTGTAAGATCTAAATGTGTATCACAATGACATGGAGGGAGGGCTGATCTAGTGAGTCATATAATCATCAGTGTAGTCAAATTTAGAGCTAATTAAACCAAATGCAGTTACCTGAATCCAGCTCCATGTCTTGCTGCAAACTGCAGAATGCAGTAGAGGTGAATGCTGCTGAGTGAGGGAACATGATTTAAAAGTACCAAGCTTTGATCACAGAACAGCTGAAGTTTGGACTATAGGAGAATACAGATCAGAGCTTCAAAGCTGAAGAGAAGCAGGATATATGTCTACCTTGGTAGACGACATTCTTGTTTCTATACTTATTTGTTTGGGTCTAAAAATTCACCTTTGGCAGATTGCTGCTTCACCTGTTGAGATGTTTGTCCCATTTTCCTGGGGTGTGCTCTATGGGCATGGCAGAGATGTTCTCATAAGGCAGGAGATCAGCACTTATACAGCTTCCCAGATTGCTCAGGGCTGATTTAAGCACCTGCATGACTTGGGCTGAGCTTTTACTCTCTTCTAGCTTATTTTTACAGAATGTCATTCTCTCAAGTGCTGTCCACATGAAGTGCTGCACACAGACATGAGCTCCTCCAGGTGTCCTCTATTGGGGTCAGAAAAAGAACTGTTTACAGCCAAGCTGGTTAATTTTCTCTCTCAGTACTTTTTTTTTGCCCAGCCCTAACTCCAAACTATGGCTTTTATACATCATTAACTCACATCTGTCTTCCTGTGAGCATGAGTAGAGAAAGTTTTTCACACAAGTTTGAGTCTGCCTGCCTATGCAGGTGTGCATGGCAAAATGGAGCTGAGGTGTCTCTAGGAGGTTCAGCAGCCTTTCAGGCTGCTGCTTTACGACATAGAGAAACTCAGAGCTGTCCAGTGCCAGTGCAGAGCATTGCTCAGCTTTGTAGGGGGAAGTCAAAGCTTTTGTTCTGAGAGTACTGAGAGCTGGATTCTCAGTGTGAACTCTGCCTCCCGGCACTGCAAGACAAGTAATTGCTGAGGAGGGAGCCTGGGAACTCCAAAGGCAAAGCCATTCACTCCTCACCTACCACCAGATTGCTCTTGTCCAACTCTGGCAACCTCCTGATCCAGTTCTATTCAAGCTATTCATACCCTTCGGTGGGTTGGACTTCAAAGAACTCCAGAAGCTAAAAATGTTCTGGGTGTGTGATTCTCACGAATGGAAAATGCCCATAGCCATACTGCAGAAGAACAAGGATTCAAAACAAGTCTCCCAAGCAGTACTGATTTTTCTATTTGCCAACAGTAAGTGGTAATACAAAAACTGATAATAAAACCTTCAGATCAATGTACTGCCAGAATATTAACCAGCTGAAAACTGAATGTAGAACCTGACAGTTAATCTTCATAAAATCATAGACTTGAAGCCTTTCCACTTTAAAATATCAGATTTCAGCATGTATATAGGTTGTGAAAGATGAAACTCCATCTACCTAACTCATAGCAATAGTTCACTTTAGATTCTTCTGCATTACCCCTTCCTGGAGTAGCAGGTTAATCCAGGAGTGCCTCTAAATTCATCTTCTTAAAATAGCTGTATTTTCTATATGAGATATTTAATCAGTTAATTAAAAAAAGAAAGGAAGGAAGGAAGGAAGGAAGGAAGGAAGGAAGGAAGGAAGGAAGGAAGGAAGGAAGGAAGGAAGGAAGGAAGGAAGGAAGGAAGGAAGGAAGGAAGGAAGGAAGGAAGGAAGGAAGGAAGGAAAGAAAATAGTAACTGATCTGAAGAAATAATGATCAATTTTGAACATGATGCTGAGAGTATTTAGAGACCAGTTTGCAACAGGGACTGCAGCCAGCACCAGTTTTGGAAGGCTGAGCATGCCCTTGTCAGCTGCATAAATTGCTTTTTACAGTGGATGATTGGGTTTACCAAGTCATTGCTTGCTGTGTGTTTTCTTTGATGAAGGCATCACATTTCTCTGGGTCACTTATCATTAACCTAATGTGTCTTTCAAAAAAGCTGCTTTATGGTGCTGTAAGCAGAGATGTCACGGAGTATTGGAAAACACATTGTTGATGCCCAGTGGATAATTTTTACAAAGATGGATAAACTAGCTTGCTTTTAAATTAAAAACCACAAGGCTTTGGCAGAATGGTAATATCTCTTACAGTGAAAACACAAAGACATTTAGAAGCAAACTGTGATACTCAGATTCAATTGTCATATCATTGAAGCAATGAAAACTTGTTGAATAAAATATTAGGCAATGCAGATAAGGGTAACAGAATCTGCACCTACCTACTGAATCCTGATCCAGAGCTCCCAGAAATCCAGGGGATTATGGCCAGGAAATAATCTGGGATTGGGCGACAGATAATTTTGCTTTAAAATTCAGTTATTTAAATGTTTCATCATTCTGTCCAATATACACATCAATTTTATTTTTTTTTCCTTAAAAATCAGATTAGCACACAGTCTTAATGTGCAGAGGTAGATTAGCTCCTGGATTTAAAATTGTATATGTTTTATTTCAGGAATGGCCATTCCAAATACTTGGAAGCTTGTAGGATCAGACCTTACAATTTTCTGCCAATAATGAATGAAAAACCCAAAGGTTCACTTTTTACCCCACAAAGGCATCTTTATACCACTCCAGCTACGTTGGCTCACGCTACCTTGCAAAATGCTATTATGTGAGGCCCAATGGTCCAAAATCCTCCCCAAAATGCATTTTATTCAGGCACTTCATAGACACACTTACTCATCCCAACCCCTCATAACACTCAGCAAATAGAAATCAGGTTCCTCCAAGAGGTCTCAGCCTCAGATCTGCATTGACTTGTAGAGGTACTAGCACACCTCCACCAGCTCCACTGCTGGTGTCACCTGTACTCACTTTTCCATAGGGCATCTTGGTTAAATTGGGTGACATGGTTGAGATCATCCAAATTCTAATCCTGTGTGTTGCTGTGACTTTCTGTCCCTCGTGACATCAACTGATATTCCCCTCTTTCTCTTTCAGCATCTGCCAGTATGTATGTACCAACGGTCTGCAATGGAAGGGAAGTCCTGGACTCCACCACCTCATCTCTGTGATTGTGACATGCGGTTCAGTTCTTGAGTTTTTAGACTGTTAGGCAACATTTTGCACATGTTGTGCACTTCGGAAAACACCAGAAAACAAAAGAAAACAAAAGAAAACTAGTACCTTTTTTTAGAAACAGTGTAATAAATTATTTTTGAGGATTGTACAGTATATAGTGACGTTCTGGAACTTTTTAGACTGATTTTAGCCCTTCTGTTGTTAATGGTCATAAGGGACATGTAAATACCCATGGTTCACAATGTGCATAGTCCTAAAGTAAGGGAGTGATTTGTTGCAAGCACAGTTGCAATGTTAGGTGACTTCTTTCCTACGATATTTTTTGTAGTTCCTTGTTGTAATTAACTTAGACTGCATTTCTATGTTGTATATTACAGTTACCTTACATGTAACAGACTGGTTTTCTCAGCACAAAACAGCAGTATTAATGTAAAGGCACCAATAATAAAAAGATAAAAGTTTTCCAGCATGGTTTCATTTCCGTTTGTTCCTCTTTCAAGGTCATTATATCTTTGATAGTTTTTCCTTTAACACCAGGGCAGGTACAAAGGGTAAAAAGCCTGCATGTGTATGTGTATGTATGTGTATGCTCACACATATACATGTATGGGAGTGTGCCTATGTTACAAAATCCACGTCACAAAACAGGTGATTCTGACGAATGCTTTGTCAGGGCCAAGTATAAATTCCCTCTCACTGAAAAAAATAGGCACGTTATTAAAGCATTTCAAGTGCTTCTCTTGTTAATGAAATGCAGGATAATTTCCAAATGTGAAAAAGTCTAATTGCATCTCAATGAGACATTAGCAACAAAATTTTGGTCACAGGTTCACCCATTTGGCATGATTTAAACCTGCCATGTGCACTGTAGAATGGTAGCCTATAAAAAGCTAAGACATTTTAGATTGTGTTGGCAAAGAGATAGAAGAAGATGTGTCAGAAAATTAGCCCAGACTGTTTTATACCTCCAGCCAAAACAAAGCTGGTTCCCTATCACCAGTGCTGTAAGAGGAATTGGAGCACCACAGAGACACAGAAGCTAAAAACGTAACAAAAGAGCAATCCAGGAGACATTTACACCTGTCTCTGGGGTGACCTTTGCATTCAAATCAAACAATTCAATACACACATAGCAGCTACTCAGACCACTGCAAAATACCTGATTTTATAACTGCTCTCTGAGAGCCACCCTCAGTCAGATGGAACAATCTGAAATGCTCCATTTTTCCAGTCCAATAAGACATTAAGGAAACAAATACACCTTTGATTAATGTGCCTGGGCATATTTACCTAAGGGCTTGTTCCCGTTGATCTCATTCCTGCTGAGGTCAATAGCAAAACTGACTTCAAAGGCAACACCACTGAGGCTTGAAAGGCAGATACTAGAGATATGTGCTGTTAGATGCAGAAGTTCTCTCAAGGCCAATCTCAGATGCTTTTACACACTTCTGGAAAGGCACAGGTTGTTAGGGCTGAACTGGTGAAGAAAGCAGTTGTTGTTTTGAATGTAAAAATGAAAGAGATTCTTAAAATCCCTGCCTGTAGGTAGATTTTTTTTTTTTTCCAGATCCATGTGTTCACCAGTGAAGATCTTTTGATGTCTACACACCTTCAGGTTCTGCATCACTGAGCTGGTCAGTACCCAAATCTCTGTGACTTGCCCAGAAAAGACACTGCATAGCCCACAGAGTCAGTTTCTTTCCACAAGCTCCAAAGTGCCAAGTGCTTCAGGCTTGGTTCCTACATGACACATACATGACACAGGGGTCATGGTTTGCCACACTGGGAGTCTTGCTTTCTCAATCAAGACCCCTTAAAGCATCTCCGATTGGGCGGTGATGTTCATGCGACTTTTGTAAGCTCTTTTGTGTGCTAAGAAACTGTCTATAGTATGCCAAAAGGTCAGAGTATCTGATTGTAATATTAATGTAATGTAATCAACATTATCTTTATGAATATCTTAAAAATGCCCAAGCCAGAGAGAATTTCTTATCAATTTGTATGGAAAGCAACAAGCAGAGTCAGATCTGCATCATCTAACGTTCACTATCTGCAATATTTAGAGCTGTGTATGAGATAGTCTACCTCCACTCCCTTTGTATTTGGTGGAGAGTCCCCTGATTTATCTTGGACTGCTACTTAAGACTGAGATAAATATCCCTAAGCAAGATAAATATCCCTGAACAAGCTTTCTCAGATCACAAAGTTTACACTGAAATGACAGGCACTGTGTCAGACCAACAGCATCCCTAAAATCTAAATTGGCATCAATTTATAGCAGGTGAGGATCTCACTGTCCCAAAGGTTTCATTCATTCTGATAGCACTACTGAGAAAATGACCCAATGTCTGTGTTGGAACACGTTTTGAATTCTAAGGTAGTTTGAAAGCCATTTGCTTGTGGGCCTTTAACACATGCAAAAAACATAACAAAACAAAATAACAAAAAACCCAACACATGAACCTCCATCCCCACTGAATGTTCTGGACTTATATTTACTTAGATCTTTTGAAAGGTTTTCACTGCTTTCTGCTGGATGCAAGTTATCTGATATTGTCCAGTACTTCAAGTAATCCAGAAAACAGAGCAAAACAAAAAGGAAAATCATAGTCTGGCAAAAGCTTTGCACCCTGGAGTAGCAAAAAAAATCTTTGGAGAAACATCATATTATTATTAGTTATTTCTCCTAATTATTATTTCTGTCCTTTCACATCATCATTTGTGTTTCTCTAATTCTAAACAATAAAAAGATTTTGTTTCCAGTTGTATAAAACCCTTCTCTTCAGTGCTCCTATCATATGTAAACAGGGAAGTAAATCACCTCAAAGCACAGAGGATCCTGCCGTTATTCCTTACATGGAGCCCCAAGCACCATAGCTGGGAACCTGAAAAATCAGTTGACTGAGCAGAAAAATAAGACTAAATAAAACCATCACAATTCTATTTGAAGTAAAGGAAATTATGTGTTTTTGGTAGTGGTGGCTGCAGTTTTTTGGGGGAGGGGAGAAGGTGGAGTTTGGTAGGGAGAGTGTTAAGTCCTGACCAAAACTTGAAAGCAAAAACACAATCCTTTTGTCTCTCAGTGATCATTTTTCCTGAAATAAGTAAATACAACTGGTTTTAGTCATAGTTTAAGAAATTCCAAAAGGAAACATTTTTTTAAAGTAAAAACTTCTAGTACTTGTTTCCAAATGACCAAATCCTACTCAAAAAAAAAATCATGTTCTCCTTGAACAAAATAAATAATAATTTAAAAAAATCCATGCAAAGAGTCCAAAACAAACTTTTCCACCCAGAAACCTGAGCTTTGGTTAAGAACTTTTCTGATGCAACCCTTCACACGACTAGTACTCTTAAGAAAAGGGAGATGGAAACAACTCCTTAGCTCACCACCATGTGCAGGTGTTGAGTGCTTGATGACATTATGAGATTGTCTACCATTAGCATTTGCAGTTTGCAATCTGAGAGATGTATGCCCCCCTCAGAGCTCCTCAACAACCAGACAAAAACTCATCGTTGTTACTTTAAGTACTAACGATACAGCAGAGCCAGGCTGGATTTTTCTTGCAATAGAAAGAGGATGGGTAAGAATCAGTGGCAGGGAGGAGGCTGGGAACATCAATTTTCTGCCTTCTACTGCCACTAAGTAAATGGCACAGGCAAGAATCATAGAATCCTGGAATTGCTCAGGTTGGAAAAGACCTTCCAGATCATCAAGTCCAACCACAACCTAAGCACACTACCCTAACTAACAACCCACCACTAAATCATGTCCCTGAGCACCACATCCAAACTATTTTTAATCACATCCAGGGATGGTGACTCACCCACTTCCCTGGGGAGTCTATTTCAGTGCTTAACAACCCTGTCTGTAAAGAAGTTTTTCCTGATATCCGAATTAAACCTCCCCTAGCTCAACTTGAGGCCATGTGGGGCTGTCCAATGCTCGCGGAGGTCATTCCTGCTTGTCTTTTATTAAAGCAAACACACACAAAACACCCACCCACACTACCTCACTTAGGCTTTGAGGTGCTGTTAGAGATGTGCTTCACAGCACATGGGACCTTCCTGTTGAGTCCAGCTTTATATATACCAAAACATGGTGGCAGATGATGGTCAAGACACTTCACATCTTCCTCTTCCCTGTTACATATGTTCAGTGTGGGCAGTGCCAATCAGGAGTCTGGAGACGTCACCACTTTTTGTGATACAATATATATGGTAGGATGATTTTGACCTTGCAAATCTTATCTCTATTTCCATCTATCTCCTTACATATTTGCCCATGAAGCACAGCTTCCATGCATTCAAAAAGCAGCAAGAAATAGAAACAAATGATTCTGTGAGAAAGTTACACACGGGGAAAGACTTAAGAGAGAGCACCACCGAAGATAAGGAGAACTTTTGAAGCTTTCTCTTAAGGTTATCATTGCCCAGAACATCAATTTAAGTCCTTCGTGCTTCTTGACATGGACCAACCAGCAGCATTCCTTGCATCAGAAGAAATGTCTTTGCCATTGGCACATCTGTTTTCACTCTTACATCGAAGCATATGTTGTGATCACTACTGGAGATGAGTCAACAACCATGGTTTCCTAAATAGTAACATCTCCTATCCTGTCTGATTACAATCAGCTGTCTCTGTTTTATGGGCCTTACTGACTCTGGCTGGACCAACAAACGTAACACTGAAAACATTCCCCTTTACTAATGAAGGGTCCAAAAACTTCTTTTAAAGAGTAATCTTCTTTTTGAACAAAGATGGCAACTCTTTGAGGCTACTCGATAACCCCTTTTGTGGCGCTCTAAGACATTTAATTTTCCCAAAACCTAGATTTAAAATAAATCCTGTTATAGACTACAAACATCAACCAATATAATCAGAACCCAGATAGAATACGTTCTCTGTATTTCACCCCCTAGCAAGTGCTGTCAAAGCTAAGACAATAACATTATGCTTAATTTGCCAATAATTAATACAGAGACACCATAA